TATGGTTCATGGGGTCACGAAGAGTCGGACACGACTTAACGACTAAACAACAACAAAAGAAAATAGAAATATCCACAATAGAACAATCATCCCACAACCAAAATAAACTAAATGTAGAAAAATAAATACAGATTGTGATTGTATCAATCAATGAAAGCTCTCCAGAAGAACTGTTTTAACCAGCTTTCCAGTTTCCAGACCAGGCCAATATCAAAGGGGCTAGTCTTACTTCCAGAGTAGGCTGTTCTGAAATGTTGGCACCATAACTAAAAAAGTATTTCCTGGCTCCTCACCTCATGAAAATGGGGCACCACCAATAGCTTTTCTGAAGAGGATTGCCTCAGATGGGTCAACCTTGGTTGGAACAGGTAGTTTGGTTGCTAAGCCAAATAGGGCTTTATAAGACAAAGCTGTCTTATAGCACTTTGAATTGCATGCAGAAAGTTACTGGTAGCCAGTGCAAGGCCCACAATATATGTACAATATGATTATGGTGATATTGCCAGTCAATGTGGGCCATCTCATTTTGAACTAACTGCAGTTTCTGGGTGGTCTTCAAATGTTCCTCATATTGAGTACATTGCAGAAGTGCAACCAAGTGATGATAAAGACATGAGCCATTGTAGCCAGGTCTTCCTGTTCCAGGTAGGGTGACAACTGAGATACCAGACCAACAAGAAAAAAATGCCCCAACACTGACAGGGCAAGCTACTGTATATAAACAGAGCAAACCCCACTCTCTTCTGGCACTGAAAATGTTACCTAGCCAGGTATTGAAATGTCTTCAAGAAAACAACTAAATTCAGAGAACCCCAAGGACTCCACAATACCAAACATAACAGAGCAAAAGTCCTTCTAGCCCCAGTCTTCACCTGCACTTCCAGCAATAGCTATGAGGCCCCTCAAGTCAAGTACGTGCTCCTTCAGGGACAGTGCCACCCCCCCCCCGAGAGACAATACTGGAGCTGACAAAGAACTATAGTGAACAAACAACTCCATTTTGTCTGAGTTCAATTTTATTTATCTATCATTCAGGTATATATGACACTTCAATCATAAACTGATTCTAAGCAGCAACCAACCAAACTTTAAATTGCTTCATCACATCCAGAATCCTATAGCCTCCAGACACTGGGACAAGACTTCAACAGCATCTCGAGTTAAAGAATCAAGCTGAATGTCATCTGCATATTGATGATACTGAACCAACAGATGGAAGGAACTACTTACCGCTTATTCATTCTGAGTTATCCATTTTGATTTTCTTTGTTATCTCATCTTTCCTTAGCTTGGACTTGCAGTTTGAGAAGGAATTTATGAAAAATCCATGTGACATTTCTTATCCTACCCACTTAGCCATTCAGATTCACCTACCTATTTCCTGCTATACATAGGGGAAAATAAGAGGAAAGCAGGTTGTCCACTGTGATACGAATTTTCATGAGGGAAATCTAGCACCTAAGACACATGCATACACATCACACAGCAGTTATATAATACAGTAATGTTATACATAATTTCAAAAATTACCTCGGATTCTTTTGTTCGCATTCTCAAATAATATTCTTCTAGTGTCAAAAGAAGATGCTTCTGGCTAGTCACATTTCTATATACTCTCTTATCTAGAGGTGTGGTGGAATCTAGAAAATCTACAAATATAGGAGGCTCCTCCATCAATTTTGCTTTTGTCCAGGAAATCTACAGGAATAATTTTGTAATTTGAAATCTTTTTTAGGACAATGATATTTCTTAAACAAACTAAAAAATCCCAACATATCTGCATTTTGAGATCTATAGATCAGGAAATATGTTAGTACAAACGGGAAAGGGAAAAAACTGAAATAAGGGGTAGAGTCTTAAGATGAAATATAGGAGCAGTCTTTGAACAGGTAGTCCTCAACTTACAACCATTCATTCAGTGACCGTTCAAAGTTACAGCAGCACTGAACGAAGGGACTTATGACCTGTGCCTGAAGTTACAGACATTGCAGCACCCCCACGGTCATATGATTAAAATTTGTGTGCTTGGCAGCCTGCCCACACTTATGACTGCTTCAACTCCCCCCACTCACCTATCTCCTTCCTATCTATGCCCTTTAGGCCCCCTGCTGCCCAGCACTCCACCACCCCAGCTGACCTTCACCATCTTATATTGCTCCCGCTGCTGACAAGGCATTCCTGGCCTGGCTCCTGGGCTGGGCTGGGGCTGAGCTTTGTGCTATTGGGGGGGGGGAGCAAAAAGCAGCCCCAGAGCCATGGCACAAAGGGGCTTTTTGGTGGGCCACAGCCCAGGGGCTACTTTTACTTTTTTTTTTTTTTTTCC